TCTGTCCCATTTCTAGGGGGCTTAAAAGTGCCTTTGGTTTGTCATGTGCAGCATCTTCCTCCCATGGTGTGAAGCAGCATGTCCTATAAAAATCCTGTCTTCTCCCATGTCAAAACAATCAGAGCAGGACGTGGCCTTTAGGGAATGGCTGGTGAGCAGGAAGGGTTTTTAATGCACAGGCATGAAGAGGGTTCTCTTGATTTTTTAAAATAAGCTCTTCTTGGATTTCATCAGTTGCTCCCAGCTGGGCAAGAAAAGGTCTGATAATGGGAGGTTGTATCCCACATCATCTGTGGAATGATCAATGTCTGAAGTGATTGTGGCTGCACAGAGTCCCACTGGGCAAATTGTCATATTCTAATAGAGGCTTCTGCCTGGTCATGCAGATTTTCCAGCAGTAATTTTACCTGGCAGGAGAATGAGAATTTTTACTTGTAAGCTGCACTTTATGAATCTGGTAGGAAAGACTTCACCTTAGCAAAAGGAAAGATGGAATAAAGTGGTCAGACTCATGTTGCCTTGCTTTTGGCTCTGTGCAGTTGAGCTGTTGCACTTGATACCTTAATCAGTAAATCTTCTTGTAGCCAAGCACTTGATGAAGTGTCACTGTGAGAGGGAAAATAAAGGGGTGTGAACACTTCAGCAATTTCCAGGCAGTCATGTGAGTTATGGACAGCAGGACTTCCCTGCTGGCTTTCATTTGTCGGGGAGATCTGCAAAACTGCCTGAGGGTCCAGACCTCCTGTCAGGGATCTTTCAAGAGTCTTGCTGGAGGAACATGGAGCCTAATAATCACTTTTTAATTTTCATATATCTAATATAACAAATAAGACTTAATTGGCTGTTAATGCTCTGGTAGCTGTGTGTTTTATTTTACTTTCTGTCATTCTCATTGCCCCAGTGCTTGCTCTCAAGGGATCCAGTTTAAGGTGCTCTCCACAAAATGCAGGGCTTTGGGGGTTTTGTTGTGGTTTTGTTTCTTTTTTGTTACAGTCTGCATGAAGATAGGACAGCTGGAGAGGAAGGAATTTGGCTGGAACGCTCCTGTCCCTTGCCAGGTGAAGTTACCTCCTGATGGAAGCATAAAATCAAGGGCACCACTGGTTTCCTCCTGAAGAACTGTCTCTGATTGCCCTGGCTGTAAAGTGTTTGGGACTTCCCAGTGAAAAATGTTCTGAGAGGATAAAATACTGCAGTATATTAAACAGCTTTAATGGGGGCTGCAGCTTTTGGTGTTTCCCACCCCTCCCTTGTTCTCAGGTCTCAATCTCTGGGTTTGTGGCACATCTAAAATTCTTAGTTCTGTTGCCTAAATCCTTACAGTTCCTCTTGCTGAAGCTATTTGCTGATGTAATTTTTGAGGGCATTAACATAAGTACTGCTGTGCTCAGTTTATCAGGATTTTTTCAAAACAATTTGTACATCCAGAACATTTCTTTAACATTGAGTTTTAAAAATGCCTCACACATCAGTGCCAAAGGCAAAAGAAGGTATATTTCTTCCTCTTTTTTTTTTTCTTCCCCCCCTCCCCCCTTTTTTTTCTTTAATGCAGCTGTTGGAAATAAAGAAATTGCAATGCATGGCTCCAGGGTTGTTTATAACCAGTGTCTGTTGGCACCCAAAGCTGCCTGGCTTTCTTACATATAAAGTTTTGCCCCAACATCAGGCTTAATTTATAGCTGATATCCAGGACAAGGAGAAGTCAAAGAAAAAGTGATGTTTCCTAGGGAATGAGAAGCCCTCTCCTGGCACTCATGAATTACAAGGCTGAACTTTTTAATGTGTCTCTCCTCCTCCTTTTGCTCAGTTTTGTTGCTGCCTCCAGTAACATTTTTCCTGACTATAGTACCATTGACTCCTGTGATAGTTTAATAGTTTCTGCTGTTTACACAGTTGTCACTTAAATTGTTGTGATTTAAATTTGCATGCAGAGTTGGTAAGGGCTCAGAGTTTACCGTGCTACCCCAAAGGTAATTTGTATTCCAGACGCTGGAGTTGTCTTGGTAACACTTAGGTGACTGGAAACCATTTGCAGAGGGGAAGTTTACTTCTGGTATTGCTCACCAGTTCCAGTCCTGGGGATCCAATCCAGGCTGGATGGAGTTTGTAGTGACAAAACCTTCTAATTTCACCTTGTGCCCAGGGTCTTCATAGGGTCTTACCTGTGCTGCTGTTTAGACAAGACTTTGGAGGGACGTATGAAAATTATTCCTCTACTTGTATCTTCATTTCTAACATACTGAGCTGAAGGATGCTGTTCCTTCTGCTGGAGGCTGAATTCTTATCTACAGGTCACTTGCTGCACTGCCAGTATATGTGGTGTAACAGACTTAAAGATAAAAAAGTTAATTAAAAAACCCCAGCCTATTATCTTAAAATTGTACACACAGATTAATGTTTTTAGTGCAAGTTCATGCTGGGGACACAGAAAAATACTGGAGTATTGCAAGTTTAGCACTCCATAGTCTAGTAGCCAGGCATTTACAGACTCCTGTTTTGAATGGTCTAAAGTCATATTGCTGATTGTTTTATTGCTGAAAGGTGTCTGGTATTTCATTCTGGCTGCCCTGGCGAGAAAGAATTGGTACTTTTATCACCTACAGTACAGAAAAGCAAGAAAGCATAATAAAACAGTCATCTCAGAGATACTTTCATGGTCACTATCTCCTATAAATCCATTCATAGCTCTTCTTATGAAAATCACAGTGACAAAAGACTTAATCAGGAGACAAATGTTGATACAATGTCTTGGGTTTCTGAGTTTTCTTGCAGCAAAAAATACATCTTCTGTACTACATTTAAATCTGGACTTAAATAATACCAGTGCATTACTGCAGTACATCTTGGTGAAAGAGGCTTTTAGAGCTAATCTGAATTGGAGTAGCTAATGTCTTCAGAGCAGACAGGCAATTTCTCACACCAGCTGAGGGCATGGTGCACGTTGAGTATTTGGAATTACAGACTGAAATCTGCAGAGCTGTTTCTGCATCGTGCAAGAAATGCTTTCTCCACTTCTTGTTTTCCTTCTTTTTGTGAATGAACCACAGGAGAATAAAGCCAAAATCCACTTTTGTATTGCTGGAAGAAAAGACTGAGGTTTTGATAGTGACTTAGTTTAATAGTCTTCTCCTTTTTGTATCTCTGGATGGTTTCCATGGGTTTTACATAGATTAATCACTTGGCTTCATGGTAAAAAAAATAGTAAGAAACAATTGGTGGGGGGGGAGAGTAATAATCAGTGGGATAATTATATCTATAGATGTCTTTGGCTTATGGTACTTGATCTTTCAGCAATGTTCATGTGGGACTCCATAAGCAGTAAAAGTTCATAGTTCCATAAAAATTTATGTTCCCTTTATTCTCATAAAACACAAGTAATCACGGAATAGTTTGGATTGAAAGAGACCTTTAAAGGTCATCTAGTCCAACCCCCTGTCATGGGCAGGGATATCTTCAACTAGATCCGGTTGCTCAGATTCCTTGTCCCACCCGACTTTAAATGTTTCCAGGAATGGGGCATTCACCACCTCTCTGGGCAACCTGTGCCAGTGTTTTGCAATGATGTAAAAAATACCTTCTTTATATCCTTCTATATTCCTTATATCTCATATACTATGAAAAAATATATTATTTTTTAGACTTGTATTTAAGTGCACATTCCTTTGGATGCAGCCCAGGACACGTTTGGTTTCTGGGCTGGGGGTGCACATCTCCAGGTCGTGTCCGGCCTCACATCCACCAGCACCCACAAATCCTTGACAGGGCTGCTCTCAATCCTTCTCGAATACCTTTGGAAATCAGTTCAAAGACACAGGAGACTTTGTTATGCTTGTCAGTCATACTTTGTAAGGTTATGTTTTAAGATGCTTTTTTCTTGCAGAGTCACGGGAATTGCTGATGAGCGTGACTGCTTAATAATGGAGTAAAAAGAAAAACTCCTCCTGAAAGCAGAGAAATGTGTCTGCAGCTCATGTTGTGGTACCAGTGACACAGGAATTGCTTATTAAACTACACCTTCTCTGGGTTTGCTTTGGGATCATTTCCCCACAGAGCAGTAACGGATGGAATGCTGCACAGGGCCAAAGGCAGGATGCTCCATCCACATGGCTTTGTTGCATTTGGCTGGAAAGGACTTGGTTTTCTTAAAACAGGGGAAAACTCAATTCATCAACATCTCCTTGCACAAAAGGGGAGGGTTGTTTGTGTTTAAAGGCAGCAGGCAAATTGGTTTCTCTTTGTCTTGGCCTTCCTGTGCTGTTGCCTTGCTACTCCTCCAGCTCCAGTGAGAGACTCACAGGTCCTTTGTTGCCTCCTGCTCATTTCCATGGCAGCCGATCCCGGCGTGGCAGGCCCAGGCCAAGCAGCCCCGCGTGGACGAGCCGCGGGGAAGGAAACGGCCGAGCGTGGGAGCAGGGAGCAGGAGCAAGAATGGAGCCTGTCACTAGGACTGGCTGTATGTAATTGCATAAATTCCATCAAGTGCATCCCATGGTTTCAAGCCTCTGGAAGCTGTAAATAATGTGTTTTAATTAATGGGTTGCCAGGAGCTTTAAAGGAAATCAGATTGGACCGAGGGCTGCAGAATTCAGCAGCTGTGGTGGCTGGAGCATATGAGCATTTTGACTAACTGCTGGTTGTTCATTTAGTTTTAATTAAATGACTATCAGGGCTGAAAGTTCCTGCCATCCTCACCTGGGTACTGTTGAAATCCATGATGTGTGGAGCTGGGGAATTGGGCAAAACTGGTTGACAGTAGCAGGGGAGAGATTTTGTCTGAAGACTCTGCAGGGCTGTTAAGTTCAAAGTCATGCAATCCACAGCGTTCTCAGTATTGTATTTCTCTGTGTGATCATTGTGGTTTGGGTTTTGCGTTTTCTGCATGTGCAGTGCAATTGGTGGTGACCGAGAAGCCTCCCATTTGCATCCTGTGTTCGCTGAGCTTTAGGGCTGGCAGTGAGAAAGGAGCAGTTGCTGTTTGCAGACGTGTAAAGTCCTGCGGAATGACGTGTGCCGTGCGCGTGGTTCGTGTAGCATTTGGTAACACACTGAGCTGCAGAAATGAGCAGAACGAGCAGTGTAAGGGCCACTGAAGGGGAGTTTTTAATGCCTTTTCCTGTCAGTATCTCCCAGCACAACCAGGGTTAGGGACTGACTGTCTCTGCCTCGTTTTCTCTCAGTGTGCACTGAGGTTAATGGTGCTACCCTGTGGTGTGGGGATGTGGTGGAGAGGAGGTGCCAAAGATGGAGCTGTGCCGGTAGAAGTGGGAGCACAGAGGTACCTCAGATGGACGGATAAAAGGGAATTGTCAATCCCTGGTGGGGTCTAGCTTACCAACAATCTGCCTGCTGCTCTGCCGACCTCAGATCACAGCAACTGCAGAGTAAGGGGAAATGTGCCCACTAAAAATGTTGACATGGTTCCACCATCTGCTTCTACTGTATTAACTTTCCTGACTAATTGCATGTGTGATGCTGTGCCACATGGTAGCTTTGTTCTTTACATCAAAAGACAAAGCGTCTTTGTGTTTCCTGTGGACCTTTGAACCACACTTGCCATTGAAGGCCCTGTCAGTGTGACACAGTAGCTGTTGATGTCTTCTTGCCTTGATGATTAGAGAGCTCCAAATAAGTGATCTTGGTCATACTTGTTAATAGGTTAAAGGCTATGGTTGCATGCATCATAATTTCCATGTTGTGCCTATTCAACTCCCACCCCCAGGGTACAAGTATTTAATATTGCAGTGCACAAAAGCATTTGACAACACACGGTGATGGGTGAAGAGGTTTGTGCTTGAATGGGGGAGCTGCGTGACCAATGCCCAACTCTTAACCTGAGCACTTGCCTTAATGCAAGGCAGGAGCCCATCCGCTCGTGCTTCCTGGCAGAATATTAACAGACATTTGTTTGGCGCTGTTCCGCCGCAACAGACTTGGATCAGAGGATGAACCTGCTGTTCAGTCTGAAACGATGCTGGCTTTGGAGACAGGCTTGAAAATGCTTTTGTGTGTGATCCCTTACAATTCCCAGGGCTCTGATTCAGTGGTCTTAAAAAGCAAGATTCCTGGCAAATTAGTCGTTGGATACAATGAATGTCTTCTTAACAGAGCTGGAGAAAAGGTGCCTTCACAGGTGAATGCACAGGGACATCTGTGGTCTGTCTAAAGATCATTAACAACCAGGCACTATTTATTTTTTATTATCTTGAACATTCCCAATGTGTTGCTGCCCAGTTAATTCTCTTTAAGTTCTTTTACTATAACTATTGGTATGATATAAGAAAGCTTTCTGAAGTGTTTGTTATGGCATAAGGGATTTCTGTATGTATGTTTGGTTTTCATGGCATTCCAATTGTTACTTTCCATTTTCCATTTCTATTTTTGGTGTCTGAAGGAGTTATATACTTTGGGACCAGGGGAACTTTCTAAAATAACCCTCGGAAAAAATTTTTACTTGGAAAGTGCCATCATTTTGTTAGTAACAAAGTAAGTGGACAAAGGGAATGAAGCTGAAAACACTAGATTTAAGTCTTCAGAAAAATCTGTGTTCCTTTTATTGTTATTGACTCTTAATTCTTTCAGGACACTTCAGTGGCTATTTTAATTTTAATATTTTAGCCTCTCAGAAAGTAAACCATGGCACATGGTTTTTTTTCTTAACTGTACAAAGCATTTCTTGCATGTTTTACCCTGCAACTTATTGATTAAAGTAGGACCAGGAGAAAAAGAGCAAACATCGATCCAACATTAAGCAACTGGACCATGTGTAAATTGGCTTACAGTGCAGTGCTGCTTCTAATAAAAAATGCATAAATGCAGCAGAACCAAGCAAATAACAGCTTCATTCCCCTTGCTGTTGGCTGCCAAACAGAATGCTCAGGTGTGTTGTTGCCCATGTAATTCCCTAATTGAGAGCACAAACCCTCATTTCCTCTCCCTACTGTCCACCCACATGGATTTGTGCATTGAACCAGCAATACCTCCTCAGGCATCCCAGGTCTGTTACACTTCTTCCTGTATCCTCTCTCCCTATTTCCTACCCACACAAGGCATCATTTTGCCACTGCATGGATTGAGTCTTCAAATCTCTGCTTTAGGCCATTGATCCCAACTCTTGACAAGCCTTTTCTTTTTCCCCTTTTTTCCCCTTTCTTTGTTTTCCTAGAAACTGGGAGCTTTGCACTGGCTTCTGTTGGGTTTCCAGCATATCCTTAGATTTGGATAATTTATACGACAAGTCAGAGATACTTGTGCTACCACATTTTTGGAAACATATAATGCTCATGCATAGGAATGTCCTGCACATGTGTTTTACTGTGCTTACCAACACAGAGCTCACAGGTGTAAATATCAGGTTACTGTTTTTCCACACAGTTGTAAGGATCAATATGCAGCCTGGACCCATGCCAAGTTCTGCAAAACAGGATTTAAACTGTTTGTTTTGTTTCTCATGCTGTTTTTAAGGCTGATTTGCAGAGGAAGTGACTTTGCCTGCAGTTCTGGGGACCCCCAGTGTGTAACGGTGCTGCTCTGCTCTCAGTGCCAAAGGTGGCTGCTGAAATTGCTGCTGCTTCCCCACAGATGTTTTGTACTCTCACAGCTGTGTCAGCCAAGCCACAGAGCTCACACAGCTATGTCAGGGCAGACCCTACCAGAGCAGTGACAAAGGTGCAGCCAGGGTCTGAGGCTCGCTAGAAATGCCTGATGCTGATTTGAACCCCAGATCATACAGCTGCAGTGAAAGCATGACAGGGAGCTCATAATACCTGGCTCTGTGCAGGGCTTAGGGCCTCTGGGTTTATCTCCTGCGTGCAAACTTGGTGTGAAATTCTGCTGGAGGTGCCATGTTTTGCTTTGGTGCACTTTAACCTCACAGTGTGTACTAAAATTCGGGCAACAAGAACTTAAGTGCTGTGTCCAAGCTGTGAAAGGCAAATTCTGTGTCTGTAAACTCCAATGTTGTGATGTTTCAATGTGACAGCATGAGCCAGGTAAGGAAAGGTGGCACATCAGGCTTCAGAGATATTCTTTGCTATCCTCTCCACTGGTCTTGGAGATTTTCTTACCACCATCTATGAAAAAGAAATCATACTTAAAAACATCAAACTGAGCAGAGAGCAGTGACTGTGTGGGGAGGCCTGCATTTTCCTTATATCTCAGTCGGTGAAAGGATCTGCATTTGCATGTCTTTGTCTCTTTTCTCTCTCTGTGCTCACATGCCTTTGCCCTGTTTCTCTAATTTTCTGAATAACTGAAGGCAATTTTATCCATAAAGTATGGCTGTTCTCTTTCTCTGGTACCTGTCTGATAAGCTATGGGCATATGTGTAGGTGGGAACTAAAATTGCTCCATCAACTCAACAACTTTTGCTTTTCTACCTTACTATATTTGCTCTCTGAAATAGGTTTCAGTCTGTTTTGTCCTCAGGAAACCTGGCTTTTGTCATTGGGGCATCAACTCAGGTCACCGGGCACTTTTCTCATCAGGGGCTTTGGTTTAGGCTGAGGGTTATAAAACCTGTACTGAGAACAGACATCATAGGGTGTCATAAAAATATCTGAGAGCAATTTTGCACAGTGACCACTGAGACCAGTAATTACTATGGACTTTGGGGATGCTTCATCGGGGTAGAATATGGCCCCTAGTGTTCAGTTCCCAGAATTAGAAAGACAAAATAATATTAAGTGCCTCTTGAGGAATTTGTGGACATCCTTCATTGTGAAATAACATACATGTAATTGCCACCCCAAGAGCTTCTGTCTTGCAACAATGTCTTGCTTGTTAAAAGAAGGAAAAACAAAACCCAAAGACAGAAAAAGCTGGCAATTCTGTCAGCAAAAGTCAGTGTGGATGAGCTTCAGTCAAAGAAATATTTAGAAACAAACTGGAAAGTCGGAGCATACCAAATCCTTTGAAAAGGTCATGACTGCAACAATATGGAGTTCTGGAAACATGTTCAGCTTCCACAGCAGAGCGATGGCTGCTCTTTTCCTCACAGAGGAAATCTTGACTTGAGCGTAAGATACGGCGACCGCGCCATCAAACGTGGAGGAAAGATGTGGGCAGGCCCTTGGCTTTGCCACAGACCTGCTGCATGAGTTCTGGCACGTCATTTAATGCTTCTGTGTCCGTGTACCTCTAAGGGAGAACACGACTTTTCAAGTTCTCTGGTCTCTTAAAGGGAGCAAGTTTTCTGATAGCCCTTCCATTCGCTGCTACCTTGTATAACCTTTGTTGTAAGAAAAAAATCCATTTGCTGAAGGCAAACCTTGTCTATGCACTTGGCAGCCTTCTTGTCACTGTTGCTGCTAGATGAGGAAGAGTCGGTGAGATTTTGTCAGTGGCATGTTTTGACACTGAGTGTGGGTGGTTTTTCACACCTGCTGTGCAGTGTCACACAACAGTGAGGTTGATTGGTAGTGTCCAGAGGTGACTGCAGGCTGGACAGGGCTGTCAGCCTGTTTCTGAGCAAAGCTGGAGTGTATTTCAGATGCTGGTAGGAAATTCTGTCCCTTCTTCCCCTTCCTCTGCAGAAGGACATGATTTTCCAATTTACAGTGTGGGGGAAGATGGTTGGTTTTCTTTTGGGTTGGTTTGTTGGTTTTTTAAATTCCAGAGACTTGAACATCAAGGTGATGAGAGTTCCTGGAGAATAAAAATGAGGAAATTGTCACAAAACCTGCGTTTCTACAGCTTAACTTACGATTTATGAGTTGATTTTAAAAAAACAGAGAAAGCTGAGGGAAGAATGGAGGGAGCAGATGTTGGAGAGAGCCTTGCCTGAAGGAGTGTGTGGGGCATGTTCATCTGGAGGGAGTGAGGCAGCACTTGAGCTTTCTGCCTGGGCTGTTCCCAGCTGCGAAGCTCCCTAGGACAGAGCCCCAGAGCCCCAAATAAACCTTCAAACTTGCAAGGAGAAGTTGTCCTGAATACCAAGCAGTGTGTTTGACAAACCTCTAATGCCCTCCGAGGAGCACACCAGCCCAAGTGGACTTTTTGTCCTTAATTTCTCTTCTGGAAAGAAGTGAAATTCTGCTTTTCCTATTGGTGAAACACGGTTTGTAGGGACAAGTGCTGCA